CCTTCTGCCCCCTCCTCCTCCTCCATGACCTTCTTCATTCGATCTCCATCACCTTCTCCGCTCCTCCTCCTCCTCCTCCTCCTGCCCCCTCCTCCTCCTCCATGACCTTCTTCATTCGATCTCCATCACCTTCTCCGCTCCTCCTCCTCCTCCTCCTTCTGCCCCCTCCTCCTCCTCCATGACCGTCTTCATTCGATCTCCATCACCTTCTCCCCTCCTCCTCCTCCTCCTCCTTCTGCCCCCTACTCCTCCTCCATGACCTTCTTTATTCGATCTCCATCACCTTCTCCGCTCCCCTCCTCCTCCTCCTCCCCCTACTCCATCATCTTCTCCCATCCTCCTCCTCCTCTTCCTCCTCCTCCTTTTCCTCCTGCCCCCTACTCCTCCTCCATGACCGTCCTCATTCGATCTCCATCTCAGGGGCAAGTACGTTTATGTAAACACAGGGTACATATACGCTCAGAAGATACAGGTCTGGTACACTTGTGTATACATATACGTACCTCGGGTACATATCTGTAGTACCTGATACCACCAAATCGCCGATCTCGGGAACTAGGGCATTCTGCTAGGCTAGAACGGTTTCCTACGATAGAGTTTGGCACAAATACGAAAATAAAACGCTGTTTAGCGCACGGCGCTAGGTCCTTCTGTTGCATTTTCGCATTTCCGTAATCAGAATAAGCCCCGCCTTCTTCGTTGATGGGCATGAATGGGGCGTCAATGACGTGACCCGTTACTGCGTGTAGGGGTTTGGCGAGACTGTTTGCTTTTCGTGAATAATGAAAGGCCCGGCCGATGCATTTCGCACCGAAGTGAAAAAATTAGGAATTTTTACCCTCTTTCGGAAGTGAACGAGTGCGTCATTCATTAAACATTGAAGTTTTTCTTAAAATTAAATAATTCCGAAAATCCCTAATCGCGCTACTCGATTGTTTTAGCGAATGAACGTAGCTGTGTGTGTGACGTCTTGCCCGCGCGCTTTATGCTTAGCTTAGCGGGCCTCGAAATGGATATCGGAGGCAACATAGATATAGAAGAAGATATATCTTCTTCTATATCTATAGAGGCACGCACCTCGCAACAGGCGTGTTTGTTTACATATAGCTTTGTGACATCAGGATGGGCGGTGTCGGGAGTTCTGCGATGATAACCTCGTAATTTCTCAGCATTTGTAAAGGTGCATGGAACATTTTACCAATTTATAGTGGTGTCATTTAGTCATGAATATGTCACAGTAAGTACTAACCGTATATGTTTCACATACGTTCACCTATTTTGCACACAGGCGGTCGATCATTGTGAAAAATTGTGTGAAGATTTATTTTTATTGAGACGTTCCAAGTGCCTGTGCTTTCATCAGTCTTGTACGTCAATGCACGGGCGTCAAGAGCCATAAACTCAACACAATTTCATCTCTGTTATTGTTTACGCCTGATTGCATGATTGATCAGGGAGGGGGGGTGCATATAAGAGGGAGACATTTTCTTTGGGGTTCCGAAAATTACAATTCCACTTGACAATTTCATGGGCCATTTCAATTGGAAGCTGTGCATAATGGACCCTCAACAAGCCCTTTGACTGACTAGTCAAGAAATTCAAAGGTCTGTATATTTCTCTTATTTAGAACAAAGTCTTCATTGTTATCTTCTAAAACTACAGACCATCCGCTGACCGCTGTGGAGACGTGCGCCGGGCCTCGAATTTGGCGCACGTCTCCACTGCGGACAGCGCTTCATACTTGAACATCCCCGCGGTCGCGTGCGCATATCCCGCGGAACTGCGCGTTTCATCCGCGCGCAGCGCTCAGGATCAGCAGCAAAGCTGTGCCACGCAATCTTGTATCATGTCTCTCTTGATCGAGTTACTGAGAGAACTGCCGAGCGCATGATTACGTTGACCGTCCCGGTGCAGCAAGCAGTGCTGTTAGACCATAGTTAGACGTAGATCTCTCGTCTTATGCCAGCGTGAAAACAACCAGGATATGTCGCCGCCATATTGATTCTCTGCGCGTAACTTAAAGGTATCCTGGGATCTGAGTTACAGTACTGAGACAACCGCTAGGTGTATTAACACTTGACGTATTTCGAACCAATTTCCACCTATCAGAGAGCGCACCGGTACAACTAAAATTACCTTTAAATCGCTCTTTCACAAAGCATGAAATTAAATTTTTTTTTTTCCTCAAAATTCATCCTTTGAGATTTGAATCGATAAAAAGAGGAAATTTTTTATGTGCAAAAATTACCCCCTTATGAAAATGGACTGTTCCAAAATATGTGACTGCACGTCGCGTACTTTCGCACACGAACTTTCGAACGCTGGCAGTTTCGCTTCGGATCCGAAACAGTGCACGCGCGCACATGGATATATATGCATTATTTTGTGCAGCCTGCATGAATGCAGCTAGAGCTAGAGCTCTAGCACAGCTAGCTAGCAATATACATTACATACAGTGCAGTACAGTGTAGTGCAAATTGCGACCGGCGCGGTGTCTGCTGATTTGTGTTCATTTGATCATGCTCGCTCTGCGAATTGCTCGCTCTCTTTTGAATGAGATTAGCACGTAAGAAACAATTATTTTTATCACATAGACACTTTGAAATTTTAGTGGCCCGATCGAGCCACCAAATTTTAACTTTTTGAAATTTTGGTGGCCCCGGGCCACCGCTAGTGTTGACCTTGGGTTAGGGTTAGGGTTAGGGAGTAGGCGTAGGCGACTCCCTAGACTCGTTAGTGGAGTAGGCGAGGTACGATCCGGCATATTAGATAGTACCAGGGTACGTTCCGGTATACCGGATCGTACCCAGGGTACGTTCCGGCAGTACCCTGGACCAGGGCCTGGGGGACATATTCATAGACCCTCTCAGCACAACTCATATAGTCATAGTATAAGTATAGACTATAGGATTTATTTGCATACACTAATCCATATGAATTTACCTTTCTTCGCGGCTTTGGCATAATGCCTCGTTTGGACTATGCATTCGCGGGGTGACAGCAGTATAGGCACGCTGCCATGATGAGGATAATAATACGGATTTACAGTTGTGCTGCATGACATTGTCATTGACATGCCTAGCTGTTGAGTTTTTAGGCATCTCCATACACGCAATCCTGGTGAAGTACACGAAATCGACCTAAATCCATAAGCACACCTGTACTTTGATAGAAGTGATAGTATCCCACGGGCCATAAAGTAAACATTATTGGAAAAATCCCTATAAATTAGCAGGATTCAATGAAACAAAATTGACTGAAACCACAACACAATTAAATTCGGTGCTACAACGGTGACACCTCTCGGATATTTTTTGAACTAATATAGATATAACAGGAACGTACCCCATAATCATCAAGAGCTAATAAATTATGTTTATTAGATCTTGACATGATGCGGCCATTGCCACTGATCTCTATAATATAATCTATAGTATAATCTATAATATAATCGATTATATTATAGAGATCAGTGGGCCATGCAAACTCCACGACAGATGGCGCTCTCGCTCATAGGCTCAATCTACTGATCAATATCTTGAGTGTGGGAAGCATAGGTATGATGGGGACCCATTGGCATTGGAGCTGAAGGGGTCGTTGTCGCATCAGGTACCCGTACTACAGATATATGTACCCGAGGTACGTACGGTATATGTCTACACAAGTGTACCAGACCTGTATCTTCTCAGCATATAATGTACCCTGTGTTTACATAAACGTACCTGCCCCTGAGATGGAGATCGAATGAAGACGGTAATGGAAGAGGAGTAGAGGGCAGGAGGAAGAGGAGGAGGATGAGGAGGGGAGGAGGGGGAGAAGGAGGAGGAGCGGAGAAGGTGGTGGAGATCGAATGAAGACGGTAATGGAAGAGGAGTAGAGGGCAGGAGGAAGAGGAGGAGGATGAGGAGGGGAGGAGGGGGAGAAGGAGGAGGAGCGGAGAAGGTGGTGGAGATCGAATGAAGAAGGTCATGGAGGAGGAGTAGGGGGCAGGAAGAGGAGGAGGAGGAACGGAGAAGGTGATGGAGATCGAATGAAGAAGGTCATGGAGGAGGAGTAGGGGGCAGGAAGAGGAGGAGGAGGAACGGAGAAGGTGATGGAGATCGAATGAAGGTCATGGAGGAGCAGTAGGGGGCAGGAAGAGGA